GCTTAACCAACTGAGCCACCCAGGCGCCTCCCATCATTAGGGTTTTTTAAGGGGCCATTTGAAACCCCAAAATTACATGCAGAATTCTTTTGGACAGCAGATCTACAAATGGTTAATAATGATTTATTCATTCAGTAAATATTAAATATCTATTTTGTACCAGGCACTGTATCTGTGCTGGAAATACTGCAGTGATAAAACCAGAATAATACCTCTGAAAGGAGACAAGGCAAAACAGTTATCTCTCTAGTTCTTTCTGATAATATAAACTCTTTTCTCTTTGCAGGAAAAACAAGAATGGTGGTGGCTTTATATTGCAGATAGGAAGGAACAGACGTTAATATCTATGCCGTATCATGTGTGTACACTAAAAGATACAGAAGAGGTAATTATCCAACAACATTATTTCAGTATTTACAAATATATGGCATCTCACCATCATGTTGCTTCATAAAGTCTTTCTTAGAAATCAGTTTATCATATTTGGCTTATTTTATTTGTTAAGGCACATTTTATAACTGTTCTCTGGTGTCTTTTGGGAGTAGCCGATTGGAAATTTACACAGTGTTGTTAAAGGTAGGCAACTCTATCAGTCTTAAAAACTTGTTTTCAACTTATTTTTGGGAGTTTTCACTGTTAGTGTCTAAGAACTTATGCCTTTTGTTTTCCTGTCCAGAATTTAATTATATTTTACAAAAATGTACACATTGGATTAGTGCTAAGATAAATACCTTTGGTCTTAAAAACAAATTTAAGAACTGATAATTAGATTTTTAGAATGGAATTTTGATTATGTGGCATTATTCATTGTTAATGTCATCACTAATATATCATTGTGATGAGTATATTTTATCTGTTTTTCATTGTTTCATGCTACTTTTCTAGAAAAGTTCTTTCTGCCTGGATTTGGTAGACAAGAGCAAGGTTTTTTAGAATTTCAAGATAGTTCTGTGATGATTTTTTTTTTTTTAAGATTTTATTTATTTATTTGACAGACACAGCGAGAGAGGGAACACAAGCAGGGGGAGCGGGAGAGGGAGAAGCAGGCTTCCTGCAGAGCAGGGAGCCCGATGCGGGGCTCGATCCCAGGACCCTGGGGTCATGACCTGAGCCGAAGGCAGATGCTTAACGACTAAGCCACACAGGTGCCCCTGTGATGTTGATTTTTAATCCAAAAGTATTTTCCCCCCTTTATAACCAAGTAGTAAATGTATGAAGTAGTTTGTTGTTGTTTATTTGACACTTAAAGTTAGTGCTAACTTAAGGGTATTTCTTGGATAGAGCAGATTTCTTTTCTTTTTTTTAATTTAAGTTTTACCTAGTTTTGAACAGATAATAAATTCACCTAGTTAATATTTCAGAAGATATACAAAAGTGCACTCATTGAAACATCCCTGTCTCAGTCACCCACTTTCCTTCCTGGAGGCCATCAATGTTATAAAATTTTTATGTAGTCTTCATGTGATACTGTATGTAAATTACAAGCAAATACACATGGGTATTTTCTCCAATACTACATATAAAATAGCATACACCTTTTTCTCTCAATGATATAACTTGGAATTATTTCCAAGTTACTGCAGAAAAACCTTCCTCATTTGTTTTTACAGCTGCATTATACTCTTTTATATGGTTATTTATTTAGCACTCTACAATTTAATGGACTTATAAATTATTTATTTTGCTGCAGTGAATAACCTCATATGTCATTTTGCACATGTACATTTATAGGATAAATTCATAGAGTTAAAATTAATGAATCAGACGCTGTGTATATTTGTAATTTTGGTAGGTATCGCTAGATATTTATTTCTCTATAGGGAGAATGAATGTTTAAGAATGCCCTTTATCTCTCAGTATATCAGACATTTTGAATGTCACTGTTAATCAGAAAGGTGAAAAATGGCATCTTTGTGTTATTTTTTCCCCTTTCATCTTTTATTTTAAAAAGTTTCAAACCTATAGAAATGTTGCAAGCACACTACCATGAACTCCCATAGATCCTTTATCTACACCGATCAGTGAACATTTTGCCTTATATTTAAGATAGTTTGTCTTTCTCTGCATGTGTGCTTGTAGATATCATGACATTGTAACCCTAAATACTTAAACATGTATCTTGTAAGAACAAGGGCCATCTCCTACATAAGCACAATAAAATTACTATATTCAGGAAATTTAACATTGATATGGTATTTATGTAATGTGCAGTCCATATTTAGATTTCCTTAAATGTCTCACTAATGTCTGTTGTAGTTTTGTTTTTAAATTCAGGATCCAGGGCGCCTGGGTGGCTCAGTTGGTTAAGCGACTGCCTTCGGCTCAGGTCATGATCCTGGAGTCCCGGGATCGAGTCCCACATTGGGCTCCCTGCTCGGCGGGGAGTCTGCTTCTCCCTCTGACCCTCTTCCCTCTTGTGCTCTCTGTCTCTCATTCTCTCCTTCTCAAATAAATAAATAAAATCTTTAAAAAAAAAAAAAAATTCAGGATCCATTCAAGGATCATGCATTGCATTTGGTTGTCATTCTTCTTTATTCTAGAACTCTTCTTGGCGTTTTTGCTTTTAAATTTTTCACGCCATCAACATTTTTGAAGAGTCCAGGCAAAATATTTTGTAGAATATCCCTCAGTTTTAATTTGTCTCATTGGTTACTCATGATTATATTCATCTTAAATATTTTTGGCAAAAATACTACATAAGTGATACAACCTTCTAATGAGGCACATTATATCAGTTTGCCCCACATTGGTGATGCCATGGTTGAACATTTAATTAAGGCTTTTCTCTACTATAAAAGGTATTTTTTTCCTCTAATCTTTCAGGTAATACTTGGACACTGTGTTAATATCTTGGTTCTCTACTAGTCTTTTACCCACTCATTTTAATACACATTGATGATTTTTGCCTTACTCACTTTTTACTATGCTGGTTTTACTCCGTATAGTTTTAAATTTTGTATCTCTCTTAAGAGTGAAACTGAACATCTTTCAGTGTATTTGAATTGTACTTATTTTTATGTCTGATTGTGACCATTGTTCATTTTTGTTGGGTTATTGGTCTTTTAATTGGTTTGGGGAATTATTGTTGTTTTAAATATTATATCCCTTAGTGATATTTGTTGCAAATATTTCTCCCCAGTTTGTTTTACTATTGCAGTTGTTTTTACCAAGTAAAAATACAAACATTATTTATTTGGGTTTTTTTTGGTAGTGTGATTTAGTAATTTTTTCTTTTATGATTTCTGTGTCTTATGGTATACTTAGGTCAAACTGTGAGATTAATTTTAAAAAATGATAGTCCCATGAATTTTCTAGTTTGTTTTTCCTAGTTTGTTTGTTTTAATGTATAATCTTGCCTACAAAATCTGGATTTTGGAGATTGGAGGCAGATCACCAGAACATCCAAATGCTATCTTAATAACTTATTCTTCCTTTGTGTAAGTGGAAATGAAACTTTTTCTTTTAAGTTTTTATTTTAATCACCTGATGCTAATCCACATGCACTTCTTAGTCCCCATCACCTTTATCACTATTCCCTGCCCACCTCCTCTCTGGTAACCATTGGTTCTCTACGGTTGAGAGTCTGTTTCTTGGTTTGTCTTTCTCTCTCTCTCTCTCTTTTTTACCCCCTTTTCTCATTTGTTTTGTTCCTTAAATTTCACATGTGAGTGAAATCTTAGGGTGTTTGTCTCTCTCTGACTGACTTATTTCACTTAGCATTATACTCTCTAGCTCCATCCATGTCATTGCAAATGGCAAGATTTCATTCTTTTTTATGGCTGAGTTAATAGTCCATTGTATGTATATTTCACACCTTTATACATTCATCAGTTGATGGATATTTGATCTGCTTCCATTATTTGGCTATTGTAAATAATGCTGCTATAAACATAGGGGTGCATGTATCTCCTTGAGTTATTTTTTTTTTTAAGATTTATTTATTTTGGGGCGCCTGGGTGGCTCAGTTGTTAAGCGGCTGTCTTTGGCTCAGGTCATGATCCCAGGATCCTGGGATCGAGCCCCACATCGGGCTCCCTGCTCTGCGGGAAGCCTGCTTCTCCCTCTCCCACCCCCTCTGCTTGTGTTCCCTCTCTCTCTGTGTCTCTCTCTGTCAAATAAATAAGTAAAAAATCTTAAAAAAAAAAAAGATTTACTTATTTTACAGAGAGAGAGAGAGCAGGGGAAGGGGCATGGGAGAGGGAGAGAGAATCTCAAGCAGACTCCCTGCTGAGCACAGAGCCCAACATGGGGCTTGATCCCACGACCCTGAGACCATGACCGCTTTTTGGGTAAATACCCAGTAATGTGATTGCTGGATCACAGGGTACTTCTGTTTTTAACTTTTTGAGGAACCTCAGTTCTGTTTTTCACAGTGGCTGCACCAGTTTGCATTTCCCACCAACAGTGCAAGAGGGTTCTGTTTTCTTCACATCCTTGCCAACACCAGTTGTTTCTTATGCTTTTGATTTTAGCCATTCTGACAAGTGTGAGGTGATATCTAATTGTAGTTTTGACCTGTGTGTCCCTGATAAGTCATGTTGAGCATCTTTTCAGGTGTCTGTTGGCCATCTGTATCTTTTTTGAAGAAATGTCTGTTCATGTCTTCTGCCCATTTTTAATTGGATTACTTGTTTTTTGGGTCTTGAGTTTTATAAGTTTTTTATATATTTGGATACTAACCCCTTTTTTTTTTTTTGAAGATTTATTTATTTGAGAGAGCAGAAGGGGCAGAGGGAGAGGGAGTGAAGCAGACTCCTGGCTGAGTGAGGAGCCTGACACAGAGCTCAGTCCCATGACCCTGAGATCATGACCTGAGCGAAAATCAAGAGTCGGACACTTAACCAGTTGAACCACCCAGGTGCCCCATTGGATACTAACCCTTTATCAGATATATCATTTGCAAATATCTTCTCCCATTCCATAGATTTTGTTGATTGTTTACTTTGCAGAAACTTTTTTTATTGTGATGACGTCCCAATAGTTTATTTTTGCTTTTGTTTCCCTTGCCTCAGGAGACATATCTAGAAAAGAGTTGCTATGGCCCATGTCAAAGAAGATACTGCCTATCTTCTCTTCTAGGACTCTTGTGGTTTCAAGTCTCACATTTAGGTCTTTAATCCATTTGAATGTGTTTTTATATACGGTGTAAGAAAGTGGTCTAGGTTCTTTTGGACATGTTGCTGTCCAGTTTTCCCAAAAGCATTTTTTGAAGAGACTGTCTTTTCCCACCAGATATTCTTTCCTGCTTCGTCGAAGATTAATTGACCATATAATTGTGGGTTTAATTTCCGGATTTTCTATTCTGTTCCATTGATCTACGTGTCTGATTTTGTGCCGGTACCATACTGTTTCGATCACTTCCGCTTTGTAATATAACTTGAACTCTGGAATTGTGATGCCTCCAGCTTTGCTTTTCCTTTTCAGTATTACTTTGGCTATTCAGGGTCTTTTGTGGTTCCATACAAATTTTAGGATTATTTGTTCTGGTTCTGGAAAAGTGCTGTTGATATTTTGGTAGGGATTGCATTGAATGTGTAGATTGCTTTGGGTAGTGTAGACATTTTAACAATATTTGTTCTTCCAATCCACGAGCCTGGAATGTCTTTCCATTTCTTTTGTGTCTTCATTTTCTTTCATCAGTGTTTTATAGTTTTCAGAGTATAGGAATAGACCTCTTTAGTTAGATTTACTCCTAGGTATCTTATTGTTTTGGGTACAATCCCATTTTTTGTAAATGGGATTGATTGCTTAATTTCTCTTTCTGCTGCTTCATTATTGGTGTATAGAAATGCAACAGATTTCTGTACATTGATTTTGTAGCCTGCGACTTTATCAGTTCTGGCAGTTTTTTGGTGGAGTCTTTTGGGTTTTCTATGTATAGTATTATGTCATCTGCACATACTGAAAGATTTCTTTCTTTCTTACCGATTTGGATGCCTTTTATTTGTTTCTGTTGTCTGATTGCTGTAGCTAGGACTTCCAGTACTATGTTGAATAAAAGTGATGAGAGTGGACATCCTTGTCTTGTTCTTTACCTTAGGGGAAAGGTTCTCAGTTTTACCCCATTGAGGACGATGCTAGCACTGGGGTTTTGCATATATGGGTGGCCTTTATTATGTTGAGGTATGTTCCCTCTACACCTACTTTATTGAGGTGTTTTTTTTTTGTTGTTGTTGTTGTTGTTGTTGTTGTTGTTTCCTTTTAAGTAGTCTCCACACCCAGCATGGAGCCCAGTGCAGGGCAAGAACTCATGACCCTGAGCTGAGATCAAGAGTCGGATGTTTAACTGACTGAGCCACTCAGGTGCCCCTTGTTGAGGGTTTTTATCATGAATGGATCTTGTACTTTGTCAGATGCTTTTTCTGTGTCTATTGGAATAATCATATGGTTTTTATCCTTTCTCTTATTGATGTGATGTATCACATTGATTTGTGAATATTGAACCAACCTTGCAACCCAAGAATAAATCCCACTTCATCATGGTGAATGATTTTTTTAATATATTGTTGGATTCATTTTGCTAGTGTTGAGGATTTTTGCATCTATTTTCATCAGAGATATTGGCCTGTAGTTCTCTCTTTTGTGTGTTATTTTTATTTGGTTTTGGTATGAAGGTAATGCTGTCCTCATAGAATGAATTTGGAAGTTTTCCTTCCTTTTCTATTTTTTGAAATAGTTTGAGAATAGGTATTAATTCTTCTTTAAATGTTTGGTAGAATTCTCCTATGAAGCCATCTGGTCCTGGACTTTTGTTTTTTGGGAGTTTTTTGATTACTGATTCAATTTCTTTGCTGGTTATCATTCTGTTCAAGTTTTCTATTTCTTCCTGTTTTAGTGTTGGTAGGTTATATGTTTCTAGGAATTTATCCATTTCTTGTAGGCTGTCCAGTTTATTGGCACATAGTTTTTCATAATAATCTTTTATAATTATTTGTATTTCTGTTGTGGTGATGGTTATTTCTCCTCCTTCATTTGTGATTTTATTTATTTGGTTCTTGATAACTGGGTAGAGGTTTATCAGTTTTATTGATTTTTTTTTTTTTTTTTTAAAGAACCAACTCTTGGTTTCAGTGATCTGTTGTATTGTTTTCTTTCATCTTCTGGGTCATTAATTCATTCCTCTGCTTCTTCCACCCTGCCATTCATTCCATCAAGTGTGTCTCGTTTTGTTTATTGAGCTCCTTATCTCTGCTATTGAGTGTGGTCTGTGTTAATGGTCTCACTGATGTCTTCCACTCTTTACTCAAGCCCAGTGAGTATCCTTATGATCATTGCTTTAGGTTCTCTATCAGGCATGTTACTTATATCTGTTTTGCTTAGATCTCCTGCTGTGGCCTTGTCCTGTTCTTTCATTTGGGAGAGAGTCCTCTGTCTTTTCATTTTGTCTAAGTCTCTGTGCCTATATCTCTGTGTAGGAAAGTCGGCTATGTCTCCTGTTCTTGAGAGTAATAGCTTTATTTAGGGGAGGTCCTGTGGTGCTCTGCAGTGTAGTGTCCCTTGTTCCCTAAGGCCTGGTGCTTCAGAGAGTATCTCCAATGCGTGGGCTTTGCTTTTGTGTTCTGCCTGCTTTATCTTTCAGGCCAGTTGTCTGCAGAGGGCCCCTTTGCCTGTTGGTGGGTGGTGTTTGGTCTGTGGCCTGAATGTGGCAAGTTTTAACTAGGTGTGTTCTGGTCTGCTTGTGAAACAAGTCTTGTTGCCACCACCGTGGGAACTGAGGCCCTGCCAAACTTGGGGCCCACTGTGCTGGGACTGAGGCAAGTGTAACTGGGAGGGGTGGTTCCACTGGAGTGCAGGTGTTCGGGGGGCTTGGTGTAAGCAAGTTAGGTAGTGAGAATTGGCACTTCCGCTGCTTCCTGCAGGTGGCCCTGTCTTATGCTGAGAGGTGGGGGTGGGGGTAATGGCCCCGGCCAGGGGTCTCTCTGTGATGCCCTCTGAGATGAGTGAATACCTTCCCCACTGTGAGCCCCATGCGCTTTTCAGGTCACTGTTTCCACGCTCTATGTCCATGGACTGTTTTGCCCTGCCTTTTCTGTGAGAGCAGCCCCAGTATCATCTGAGCTCTCCCGGAGCCAAGCATGCTGACCTTTAAAACTCCAGGCTTTAAGCCCTGCTGGTTGCAAAAACTCAGGAAATTTGGGTCCTCTTGCTTTCCAAGCCAATTGCTATGGGAATTCCTTTTCCCCATGCACTCCCCTATGTGCTGGTTTGTCTCTTGCTCTTCTCTGCAACTGCAGCTCCCTCCCTACCACAGTGGCCATGATCCATTTCTCTTCCAAACTGTGTGTCCACGCTTGCTACCTTCTTCGACATGGCCTCTTCTCTCTCTTCTCACAGCCCTTCGCTGTGCTGTTTGTTCTGGCAGTCTTCAGTTCAATTGCTGGGGCATTTAGGATGATTTGGTAGTTATCTAGTGGTATTCATGGGATGATGTGAGCCTAGGGTCCTCCTATTCCCCTGCCATCTTCCTTTCCCTGGAATTGAAAGTTTTAAGAGTTTGTAACTCTTTGTATATATGGAGTTTGTGATTTAATAGGAAATAAGTATCTTCTTGACCTTTTAAGGCACTGGGCATGTTTTTAAAAATTTTTTTTACTTGAGTATGGTTGACATGTTTTTTGAGTATAATTGACATACACTGTTACATGAATTTCAGATTCAGCTTGTCTGTGTTACACTGTGTCCGCAGTGAGTATAAGCTATAGCTACTGCCTGTCAGCACACACAGCCCTTACAGTGTTGTTGACTGTACTCGTTTACGTGACTGGCTAATTCCATAACTGGAAGCCTGTGTTTTCCATTCCCCTTCACCCATTTTGCTCATCCCCTCACCTCCCCCCCAACATTCTCTCTGTCAACCATCAGTTTCTTCTCTGTATTTATAGGTCAGATTCTGTTTTTTGTTTGTTTATTCATTTGTTTTTTAGATTCCACATATGAGTGAAATCATACGGTATTTTCAGCATTGGGCATTTGTAAAGGAAAACTCACTTCTCCTGTGTTTCTCATTTCCTCACACTACTGTCACACTCACAACACTGTTGACACTGGGTGTGTGGGTTTGTACCCACACCAAGCAGTTCTCTGTCATCAGCGGAGTGTCCTGCAACTTCACTCAGTGCTGGCACTGTTTATCTGGAGTCAGCATCAGATCCCACAGGGTAAGGGCTCGGTTCCGTAAGACTTCCCCGCCCCCCATGTGCTTCAGATTTACAAGTCTCAAGTTGTCACCTGTACTTCTGACCAGATGGCTATGAAGTAGGGTTCCCATGATACCCTCCTTGAGTCCAATAATTTGCTAGAATGGCTCATAGAACTCAGGGAAACACATTTACTAGTTTATTATTAAAGAATATAATAAAAAACCTAGATGATGTTGTTTCTTCCATTTCTCAAAATACGGATTTTAAGTGCTGTTTTTTTTTCTTCTAGGTAGAACTGAAGTTTCCTGCACCAGGAAAGCCTGGAAATTATCAGTATACGGTGTTTCTGAGATCAGACTCCTATATGGGTTTGGATCAGATCAAACCCTTGAAGGTAAGAATAGTGACTCTTTTTAATAAATATGGTTGCCTGTTTCAATAAGTGCTTAATATACTAGGAAAGCATTTCTAGTTCTGAAATGTAGAGTAATAGAGGGAAAAAGATGTTTTCTCATACTTTATATATGATACACTCAGTGGCTTGCCCTTTTAATAATAAATGAGTTAAAGGAGCATAATGCTTTAGAACCTCGAATATAAATTATTAGAATGATTTAGAATGTTAAATATAAATTACTTAAATTATACTCTTTTTTTAAATTTAATTAATTAATTTAAAGATTTTATTTATTTGAGAGAGAGAATGAAAGAGAGAGAGAGAGAGCACACAAGAGGGGAGAGAGGGAGAAGCAGACTCCCCGCTGAGCAGGGAGCCCGATGCAGGACTCGATCCCGGGACTCTAGGATCACGACCTGAGCCGAAGGCAGTTGCTTAACCAACTGAGCCACCCAGGCACCCTTAAGTGATACTCTTAATGTGCTATAAAATGCTATGACTTTATAGGGCCTCACCAACTGGGTTCTGGGGTTTTTTTGTTTTTGTTTTTTAGAAAAGTACATGTATTTTCCCACAGATTCTTTTGGAGTGTTTATTAATTTCTGAGATTAATTTGTTTTTTATCATCTTATACACTTTGTATAAGTATCATTTGAAGCACGTTCCTATCAGTGTTTACCAGTTTCACTTGAGGTTTTTATAAAAGGCCTTCTGTTATGTAAACGTTGTGTTGAAGTGTTGTTACATGGTGTACTGGAGTCCCAGAGTAAAGGGAGCTGGGAAAGGCAGGCCTGTTTTTTTCCCACGAGGGTACCATATTTCTTTCCATTGTCTATAGAATTTTACTTCATGAGTATGGAGGCTGCAAAATACTTTTTTGAAAGTCACACTTGAGTTTTTCTTCTCTCAGCAGACTTATTAAGACATAAGACTTACTAAGACATAACTCAGTGTTCTTGCTCAAGAATCACAATTATTAATCTTTCATTGTACAGAATAGTATAGCTTCTATAGAATTAAAATGTCAAACCGTATTTGAAATTTAACTGCATTCGCATATTAGTAGATTACCTTTTTATTTCTGGGATGAATGTCTATTGTAAATAAATATGTTAAATTTAGAGTTAACACCTGTAGAGTCTATTTCTTTATAATTGCTGTGGTCACAGAAAATTTTTTCTTTATCAGATATTTCTTCCCTTTTTCCTCCCCAAATTTCTGATGTCTGCATTTAATTCTTCTTTATAGTTGGAAGTTCATGAGGCTAAACCTGTACCAGAAAATCACCCGCAGTGGGATACAGCAATAGAAGGGGATGAAGACCAGGAAGACAGCGAGGGCTTTGAAGATAGCTTTGAGGAGGAGGAAGAAGAGGAGGAAGATGATGACTAAGCAGTACTATGAATGGACCACAGTATTTGCAGCTTTTTGCTGTTTTGGAAGTGTATAATAAACCAGAAACAGTGCAGAACTGATGTTGAGGGAGGTGTTAGTTCTTTACTAGAAATGGGTGCATAATATAACTAGGCAGTGGTGATGCCTTGGTACAGTCTGAAAAGTGCTTAAGGCTTGTTAAAGCCTTTCAAGTATGGGATGGTGCATTTATTTCATCGGCAAATGATAATAAACCCTTTGTTATAACTGTCCAGAAATGTGGGCTATGTATTATCAATTTATGGTCCCAGTAAAAGTAAAGGTACATGAAAACCAATTTATAAGTGAGCAGTTTTTCTTTGTTTAGCTTTAGTTTTCAGCAAACATGAAAGTATGGTAAACACCACACATGTTTTTAGGAACATCTGCTCAAGTTTTAATCTTTTAATAAGCTCTGTCATTCATTTATTGACATTTTGCAGTGACACAAGACTATTTATAACAGCTCCATTCATAGCTTTAAACTTTTTATTTTTACCTGTCTTGGTCATAAGTTGGCATTCTGTCACATTCCACATAATATAGAGGGCTACATTTGGGGATTTTCCTTTTCTTAATTGCCCAGAGTTATCAGACAGATTATAAAAAATGGCGTTTAATGGCTTAAAACATTTTTAAGCCTCTATTTTAGCAGATCAGTGCAGGATCTAATTCTTTTTATAAGCTATGGGTCTAAAAATGATTGTGGGACCATATGTTCTCTGATGTTGGTGACTCATGTTATTAAACCTTTTTAAAAAGGTTCACTATAAAAGCTGAAATACATTCTTAGCTTTTAATCCACCTGACTCAGAAGCCTTTTAAGGAAAAAAAAAACCACATAACTTGCAAAGGAGGCATTTTTTTTGTATTCATTTTGGACTCCTGTCAATAAAATAGAAGTTTGACTCATTTTATGTTTGTAATGGTGTGTGTCTTTTTACTTCCAGAGAAAGGATATAATAGGATAATTCACTCTTTCAACTAAAAATTTAATAATGTACATTACTGCAGAAGTGATCGCTATTTCTGTATGGTATAGAAAAATCCATGTGTGGGAGGAATTATCCCCTCACACATTGCAACCCAGAAGGATAGTGCTTATAAAGAGTAGAAATGTATACATGATGAATCATTCAGGTAAAATGAATATTTTTATTACTAGATACTGAGGAGAGGCATATGTCTGTAATATTATAAGACTGATTGTAATAATCCTTGCCTATCAAAATCTCCATAGGCCAAAGTACTGTTGGAATACTAATTTGTGACCTTATTGATTTAAAAGGTTGCCACATTCCATGCAGAATTGGTATTTTGTTACTGCAGTAGTTGGAAATAAAATTTGAAAATTACCAAAAACATGAATGGTTTTCTGGTTCTAAATTTAGGATATAATTTCTACAACATACTCAAAACAGTTTCTTCATTGGAATCTCCATCACCTGTTTGTCAGTTTGTTTAAAAGGTGTTAGTGAGACTCTTCCTTGGCAGGCAGTAGCCCCCCTGCGGATTTGTTTCATTTTACAAGTAGAGGGTGGGTTTAATTTTTGAGTCAGGTTTTCCTGGGGAGCTCCAGTGTCAGGTGAGACAGCAGCCGGTCAGCTAAGTGCGATAGACGGGAGTGAGGCCAGCCGGTAGCAACAAGCAAAAGGGGGTTTGAGGAAACCTGTGACCAAACCAAACTGTGTAATGTGCACATCTCCTGGTTTTCTTGAAGGATAATATTCAAGAAAAGTATTTCTATTCTAGTGGCTATTTTGTCTGAGGTTTTATTCTTTCAAACAACTGGCTTTCTGTGTTTGAGACTCCAGAGAGGATAATTTCACAACCCAGTAACTCACCGCAGTGCTTAAAAAAAACAGGATCACCTTGACCTTAGAAAATCCCACCAGTCTGTTTTCCTTTACCCTTTGTGTGATACATACATACTTCCCAACCACACAAGTGCATTACCCTCTAAATTAGTACTTTAGGTAAAAAAAAAACTTTCCATATTGCAAGAGCGAAAGAACTGAGCCTTCAGTTTATAGTTCCCGTCTCTCCAGCAAATCTCAAAACTCCATATCCCTTCTCTCGATCAAGATTTGATAACAAACCCTGGTTTGCATTTAATCTAATGGAAACTCTTAGTGTAGTTTCAGTTTTGTTTTCATGAGGAAACTGACATTTTGTCAACAGAATAAATGAACATATAGATGAAAACATTCAGTGTGTGTACACAAAGTGAAACTGGTTATGAAATTAAGTTACTTAAATTGTGTAATATTTTAATCTCTTTAAATTGGTGAAGTACCTATTAAAAGGTAACTCTTCCATGAGAAGACCACAATTGAAAGTCTAGCAGTTGTTTGTCATGTGTGTATCTCAGTCTCAAAAGTCAGGTGTTTGTGTCCTTTCTAAAAATTTTTAAGTTTTCATGAATATTTTTTAAAACTAAGCACTTTGAACAAGGTTCTCTGTAGAGAACAATACTCTTCTAGTTCTCCCAGCTTGCACTGAGGGGTGGAGGATGAGACTGTCCACCGTGCTCCACTGCATGGCGGGAAGCTCAGACCTCGGGTGCAAGCAATAAGGGTAGGGGGATGCCAAAGGACTGATGGGGAAGGAGTGGGGAGGATGTTGAGGAATGTAATGAAGCTCGCTGAGTGCGTCATTGACCGTGACGTTTATCTAGTTATTTGCTTCAACAAATCAAAACCAGATGCAGGAGTGTTCTTTAGCAACAATTATTTCAAATGTGATTCAGCACTCTACATATTTTTTGAGTGGTTGCTCATCATTCATCATATATTCACTTGAGTTTCTTTGTGCCTGGGTCTATGATTGGATACCGGAGTTATAGAAATAAAATAATTCATGTTCCAAGGACTCACTGGTATTATGACAGGAAGATGTGTGGCAATCCATTCTAATCCATTTGCATTAGCTAATGGCCATTGTTTGGAATGCTTTTTTTTTTTTTTTAAGTCTTTTCCACTGTAGGCAGAGGAATTTTGTTTTTTAGATGCTAGGCATTGGCTCTTTATTTTTTTAATAAGCGATTCCTCATCCTTTATTTTTAAGTATTTCTTTAAAGCATTTTTCTCCCCAAATATTCTTACTCAACTCCATGAAATCCCCTAGTTTGCCTTAAAATGAAACAGCCATCAGTGAACCATAAAGTAACATATCACTAGCTGTGTTGTGATTAGTCCAAATATGTCTTAAGTTAGCATCAAACATCTTCACACATTTAAACTAGATACTAGGGCTATTTTGCAAAACTTTGAAAAGCTGTGATCTTGTACATTTTTCTGTAACCTGAGCTAAGAATCCAAATACAGCGATCACTGGCATGCTTTAGGACTGTGGTTTCAGGTGGGGGTGTGTTATATCCCTGGGGTATGCAGATAAATCAGTCCATTGGGAAAATGTTAAAATGGTTATTTGTATTTACTCTCATCCTTTTAAATTTCTATTTTTGTGTGTTTTATAATGTACATAATATATTGTACAATTGTACACATATAATTCGTAAATAAATACATTTATTGGTTCATTATTTTTTTCTGATTTCAGTGCATGATCGAAACATTTGGATACGTTGCTTTTAGGTATAGATAGGGTGGCATTTAAACTAAAATGATTTGGACCTTTAGCACTCAATATTTGAATTCACAGTGTGATGTTACTCTACTGGGAGTTGGCATTCACTCTGTCTAGCCCTACTGTAGTCCCCAGGAGCAAAGTGACACTTTTCTAAGATGAGAACTGAGTAGGTTTCGTGATGGGGTTAATAGATGAGGGTAGAGTTCTAAGCAGATGTCGTCCGTGGAGTGGAAGTGGGGCAGGTAGAGGCCAAAGACGGGCTAACTGCTGGGATGTCCAGCAAAGGCTACAGCTGTTAAGAGGTCCCTGTAATCTGGCTGCCACAAATTAAAGGTGAGTATGGGAAGGATTGTCCACTCTCTTTTCAGCACTAGGTAGTTCAGCATTAACCTGTCAGGCTGCATATGCAAAGGGAGCTGTGTTCTTTTATCTTTCTGAACACCTGAGGTTTACCCTTTAAAATCTGGAAAATGGTAGCAATAGATAACAGAGATGGGAGCAGTTTCCATAAAGAGCAACTTCAAACTATTTGCCTGTAGTTTCCAGCCTGGTTCCGGTAGAGGGCGATAGGGCTATAATTTTCATTAGCAAAGAATGGTTGAGCTTGTGGGACTAAACCAAAATTAAAGACATGCTTTGTAATTTATTTCTGTTTCCACCTTTTAGGATTACCTTCTTTCCCTTTACTCCTTTTTTAGCCTTATCTAACCTTTGTCTTTCTTAACATGTATCCTTTAATACATTATATTTACTTCTCGGTTTTCTAGCTGGAAATACTAGGTCCCTTTGCAACAAATTCCAGAAAATCCATATTTATTCATTGTGCTGGAATTGTATTAGATCGTTTGCGTGAGAGAGGTGGGAGATTAGGTAGGACTAAAAGATCCTTTTATTCTATAAAATTTAAATTTTGGGGTTGGTTGGTATCAAGAACTATGTATGAAGGGTCTGAGACACTGCAGGCTAACAAGTTAACCCGCCACGGTGTCATGGATGTTAGCAAAGACAGGAGAATCCCGGGTCAGAAGCACTGCAGGCTGCGTGAGCTTCATGTTCCCCATCTGCTCCTCTGGTTCTCCCAAGTTCCATGGGGGCTCCGCAGAGCAGATGTTGCACAAGAAAAATACTTGAGTCACAGCTGAGGAATTTCTAGCTCAGGAAGCCTAGTCTTTTAAAGGGTATACAAGCAAAGCTGTCCAAGAGGGAGATATTCTCGATTCCAAGCTAGTTTCCTACATAAACGAAAAGTCTGGAACAAAAGCTCTGTGCCTCTGCTCACAAGGTGCGCCGAAACATGAGATCCCCATGGAAAATTGTCTCAAAAGTTGGAATTCAAAATACATAGTACCTCTACTTACAGGGAGTCTTTGGACCTTTGGTTAAAATTGAGGAACCTCTGAAATATTCTCAACAGTTGTGCTGGCACCTATGATCATCCTTTGAGGGAAGATTTATTTTTGGTTTTGACTGTGAAAAGTTGCCCAGAGATTATGCAGATGAATGGGGAGGGTAATCAAATTTGCTGATAGACATTTTGATCAAGAATTAGGCATGTGACTAAAATACAATGAGAGACTTTAAAAATCTTGATCATTAAACTGCATTTGAGACATCCAATGATATTACCAGGATAACTCTAGCCTCCCTCATGTATATGCATTAGTCTGCATCTATAGCTTTGGAAAATTAGTCTACTTACTTTATAATCACATCCAAAGTTTCTCCAGCTTTTTCAAAAAATTCCAGTGTAATTAACATACAGTGTTACATTAGTTTCTCTCCAGCTCTTTAATTTCTTGATTCTCTGCCACATTCCTAGGATGTCAGTCACTGGCTGTGCCACACATCAATTTCCAAGTTTCTCCAAAAGCCTACAGTTCCTCTTCTTGATGTGACAACATACACAGAGAGAAAGGGGGAGCAGCAGGAGGGGCGCCCCAGCTGAAGGGAGGCAAGGCACCCCTTCCAAGTGTCTTGGAGTTGCAGCTCGCTCCACAAGCCCCTCCCGGTTCAGAACTCTGCAGTTAGTCTTTTTCCCACCATCCCAGGGAGCTCTTGCGGCACTACCCACCCCTTACTCAGGAAACACTGATGGGGGCCTATTATCATGGAAATCATAAGGATTAATGTGATTTCCAGCAAAGTGCTTTTGAGAATTGGAGATGAAGCTATAGTGTTGTGATTCACAGCATTATTTCTTTATACACTGAAAGCCCCCACATCTTTCAAGTCTGCTGACTTAATGACAGGGTATCTCAGTAAATGTCAGGAGTGACACGTCAGGAGCAGCACATTTCAGATGGGAGTTCGGGTTCGGTAATACTAAAACGGAATTTTGAGTAGAATTTTGAATGTGTGTTAAAAAGAAAAATCTTTAGAGCTAGGAAAAAAAAAATCTTTAAAAAGCCTTCCTCCGTCTCGCTCAGTCTGATTTGTCAGGTTTTGTTTTGCATTTGGTACGAGGGTACTTAGAATCTGATCGAACCGAGGGCCTGCCTCCTAAGCCCTCCACGGAAGCGAGCGGGAATGCAGGACTGGAAGCGAAAGCCCTGGGCTCTAGCGTTGGAGCTCCGTCCGTCCGCGGGGCGCCACCGGCCTGGGAAGTTAGGGACGGTGCGCGCGGAGGTGCTGGGAACCGTAGCGATGCCCTCTGCAGCTGGAGGAAATGGCGCTCCCAGTCTGACCCACAGCGGGCCGGGCGTGGATGGAGGGAGAGACAGAGAAGAGAAGTGACCTGTCGCAGCGAGGGACAGAACTGGAG